ACGATGGGCTCGGGCGAGCTGGTCTCGATAGGCGGCGCGTCCTTGTCTCCTCGCGTATTAATCGCCCGGTTTGACTTTCAGCGTGTGGCAAACGATCAGTTGATGCATCAGGTTCGGTTGTTGACGCATCCAGCAACGCATCCCTTATTGTTCTGGGCTGCGTTTGGCCATCTTGCTGGGTGTCTGATTTCCGTGTATGCTCCACAGCATTGCGAACGTCTTCGTCGAAGAGAACGGTAAGTGCCTTGACACCAAGGTCCTTCAACGCCACGATACTGTTGAATCTTGCTAGCGGCGAGACCAGACTATCTGAGCGCCGTCGATGGGACACTCTCCAGATAAACTCCCGCAGCGCGACAAGCTTGAAGTCATCTTCTGATGACATGCCGGCATTACGGAGTTTCTTCAACCATAACTCGTCTTCCTCGTTCTTCGATAGCCTTTGCAGCACTTTGTGGTCTAGTTCTCGCCCTGATATGGCGGGCAAGCTATCATCTGAGGTTCCAAAGGTGAATGTCTGCTGATGTTTGGCGGGGACCCAGAACAGTCCTTTCTGTGCCTGCAATGCCCAATTCGAGGCCATCTCGATGAGTAGCCTTGTCAAGGGGCTCTTCAAGGATTCGAGGATCCGCATCTCGGAGAAATCCGAAGGCACAACTTTGAGATAGGGTCTAATCAGGTTGACCAAAATACTGTGCGTATCAGCTACAGACAGATACCTAGAGGCAGCTGAAATGAACTGTGCAGCTGCTTCCCGGATCCAAAGATTAGGATGCATCGTAAGGCGAGCTACAATATCGACTAGCTCCCAGATCTTGGAGCGCTGAAAAAGGCCGAGCTCTGCCATCGAGGAGAGAGCTCGCACAACCTTTTCTACAACGAACTCTTCTGGGTCGGTCAATGCTTGTACCATAAGTGGTAGAATGTAACCCTCAAGGCTAGCGCCACCGACAAAAACGGCAACCCCGACGATTGATTCGAAGAAAGCGCATTTAAGCATCCAGTCCGGATCATTCAGGTACGTGTTCAGGTGACTCAGAACAACATCATTTGCCCGAGGACTACCAAAGAAAACGCACAGATCAGATACAGACCGAAGCATAGCTCGACGAACAGAAGCATCTGAGTCGGTTAATAGGGCTTTTGTATGCTTCTCAAATGCTTCAAGTAGGATACGACGGTCCGAGTCAAATTGATTTCGATGCGCGGACGAAGCCAGATCATCCTCAGTCTCCGGATCAGCTGTTGGTAAAGATCCTTCGGCCCGGAGTGCTTGGATCATGTCGAGATATTTTGCAGCAGTTGCAGCTAGCGTACCGATGCAAAACGCATACTGCATTCGGATGAGAGGGCTGACGTTCGTTGAAGAATCTGGGAGATAGGCTTCCAACCGCGGAAGAACATATTCCGGGAAGATGTATGCATTGATAGGCGAGACAACCTGCACCATCGCCAAAATCTGGGTCAATGTGCGCAAAGCAGCAATCTTGACTTGTTCTGATTTGTCGGTCAGTAACTGCGACACGTAAGGGACTACGCGATCTAATTTCGCTTCGTCAGTCAAGCGTTCTGAGAAAGCCAGAAGAAGCTCCAGTCCTCGAACGCGTGCCGAGGCTCTTGCTGTACCCCTCAGACAGGAGACAACAATGGTGAGGAAGATCAGGTTGCCATCATCGATAGCTAGGCTTGGCGTAGGCGATGCCTGATGTTGATAATTCGGAATGTTGACAAAGATTGGGAACAACCGTGCGTTCGGATTGGGGGGCGAATGGTGGAATCTTGAAAAATCTTTGCCTCCACTACTCGACAGCAGGTGAGAGATTTTATCGTAATCATTGTATATCTGTTCTATGCGTTCATCTGGTTCCCCAAGGTGCTCGGCGCCCGTTGTAACGGGCTTCCGGCCTGAAGACGGGTCGGTGATCGAATACATATATTGTTGTAGGAACCCATAGAAATAGCTTGGGAATACTTTGTCTTTCCAATGTGTGAGATAGTCGTCGGCGGACATTCTAGAGTTCGGGTCGACTTGGATCATGTGCATGATCAGATCTCGTATATTCCCGTCCTGGATTTTGTTCAGGTGGGAATGCTCGGGGTTATATTCGCCTTGACGATACTTGAAGAGCTGACTTAGAGAGAATATTGGCGCTTCGAGGAAGAGTTCGGCAATGACGCAGCCTACACTAAAAATGTCCATAGCCCAGTTCACATCTCCTTCGCCTTCTGGTTGCTGTCCAGCAGCCAGGAATCGTTCAGGTGCAAGGTAGCAAGTCCTGCGGCCGGAAAGATCGAAGTAGAAGGAAAAATCGGCAGGGTTGTCTTCCGGTAGATGTGCTGGCTTGTATGATGATGAAAAGTCGGCAAGATACAGCCAATTCCAAGAGGTGACTAGGACATTTTCGGTTTTGATATCACCATGGAAGATGTGTCTGGCATGGCAATCCCGCACAGCACACAGTAACTGGAAAGACAGCCACTTCTTCTCAATCTCTTCGAGGAAAGGCCGTGTACTGCAGTAGGACGTTAGTCCACCGCCAGATATTGGCTCGGATCAATTTACCTCAGTCGGTCGTACAACGAGCTGTGCACATACTGGCGTACTAAGTAGCCACAAGCTGCAGTCTCAATAACACGATGGTACGCCACGGCATTTGGAATATCAGCGAGCACTTTACGTTCATCTAAGGAATGTCAGCAAGTACAAAGGTAATTATAGTGTACTTGGAAAGCACTAACGAAGTAGACGCTTGACATAAGCTTGGAAGTCGAACTGAGCATACGGCTTCATGACGACGCGTGCTACAACGAGGCCATCTTTGTGACGTGCCCTAACAGCTTTCATGAACCGTGCGGCTCCCAGGGACTTCTCATACTGCAGGTCAGCCAGCTCTGGCACGTCGATGTTGGCTGAGCCAGCTGAGAGCGTGGTGAGCGAAAAGCCCTGACCCATGGCGATCGATCGATCCAAGTACGGGTGGTGCTAGGGCGCTGAGCAATGTTGATGCCTTGCCCGCATGTTGGTCTTCTGCAGACGGCCTGTCCTCTTCGCTTTGCGTTACCCCTCGATATGCAGGACTTTCCAGCTCAAGGTTAGGGATGTCAAGGGCTGGTGGTTGCGCGATGGTGACAGTCGTGATATGTTAATCACGCGGAGTTGCGTTTGGGGTCATCTTTCACTCGATGCAGGTGCCTCGGCCGCTAGCACCAAAACGGCAAGGTCGCAAGGGCCACACCTGCATCGTCTTGTCGCAACACGTTGCGGAGCTATCTGAACACAAACCCATGGCCGGCGACAAACAGCACATTGTCTTCTTCCACCCTGACCTCGGCATCGGCGGAGCTGAGCGTCTGGTCGTCGATGCCGCTGTCGGGCTACAGAATCGCGGCCACAAGGTCACCATCTTCACCTCCCATTGTGACCCGCGACACTGCTTCGACGAGGCCCGTGATGGTAAGCTTCCGCTGCCCACAGCATTGACGGCCTATCCACCATTCATACATGAAACTAGGCAGCTGAGACCTGACCCTGGCGCAAAGGAACTCTCGATGTGCGAGTACGCGGAAACACCATTGTCCCAGGCACCATCCTTGGCCGCTTCTCTATTCTCTGTGCCATATTGCGCCAGGTGCACCTGATTCTGCAGATTTCTCTCTTGTCCTCCGAACTTCAGCAGCTCGCGCCTTCCGCGTTCTTCATCGACCAGCTCAGCGCCGGCATACCCCTCCTCCGGCTCCTGCAGCCCCGCACGCGCATCATCTTCTACTGCCACTTTCCGGACAAGCTTCTCGCGAAGAAAGGAGGCTTGTTGAAGACGCTGTACCGAGGCCCCTTTGACTGGCTGGAGAGCTGGAGCACGGGGTGCAGCGACACCATAGTGGTGAACAGCAAATTCACCAAGAGCGTCTTCGGTGAAGCGTTTCCACGTCTGAAGCACCGTCAGCCGGGCGTTGTCTACCCTTGCGTAGATACAAGCGCAAAGGACCTAGTCGAAACCGTCACACCTTTATGGAAGAACAAAAAAGTACTCCTGAGCATCAATCGCTTCGAGAAGAAGAAGGATATTGCGCTGGCAGTCAAGGCCTACGCAGGACTCTCGCCAAAGGAACGGGAGGATGCCCGGCTCGTCATAGCAGGGGGGTACGACCCAAGGGTGGCAGAGAATCTGACAACATATACGGAGCTATGTGAGCTGGCAGATTCGCTCAAGCTGAAGCACGCCACTGCCCAAAACGTCATTAGTGCTCAGCGCATACCCGACGACATCTCCATCGTGTTTCTGCAGTCCGTTCCGAACGCTTTCAAAGCCACCCTCCTATCGACCTCCCGTCTTCTAGTCTATACCCCACGAAACGAGCATTTTGGTATTGTTCCACTTGAGGCGATGCTGGCGGGCACGCCGGTATTGGCTGCCAACGAAGGTGGACCTACAGAGACGGTCATTAGTGGGCAGACCGGCTGGTTGAGGGACGTTGGGAAGATGCAAGATTGGACTGAGGTCATGCGAATTGCTCTCGAAGATGGAGATGGCGAACAGCGACTGAATGAGATGGGCAAGTGGGGTAAAAAAAGGGTGCTTGCGGAGTTTTCAAGGGAGACAATGGCCGAAAGGCTCGATTCAGAAATCCAAGCAATGATGCGCAAAGTGACGCGCCCCTCACCGGTGCCATTTGCAGTGGTGCTGGCGACTGTAGGCTTGCTAGGGGCCCTGGCTGCCGGCGGCCTATTGTTGGCACAGAAGCAGACCTAAAAAGCCGGCTTCTCATGAATATATGATAGATAACTAGATGTAACGCATAGCCAGGTGAAAATTACCTTTCTCTTTGCACATCTTTATCGTTTTGTGGTGATTGTGATGTCAGATAATACTCCTCTCTCCGTATAACACCAAGTTTATACCAACAAGGCACAATGAGATCGATATACACGGACAAAAAGGTGATAGTTATACGGCTATCAGTTATCAGACAAGATCCCAAAAAAAAAGAGTAAAAATAAGAGGTCTAACCCAGATTCGAACTGGGGTTGCCGGAATGCTTTCGACAATCAAGATCAAAATCCGGAGTGATAACCACTACACTATTAGACCATTTGTAGACGACATTTTAGACCAATTATTGCGTTTCTAGAAATTAACTAAAATATATCCTACATTTTTACTGCTTCTCAGCGTGCAAACTTATCTGAGGTCGCGGCGGGGCCGTTCCAGCAATCTTGTGACGCACTGACGCCTGAAATGTTTGCTAATTTCTCACATTGTCTCACACGTGCACCTGCTAAAACCCTAGCGCCAAGCTTCTATAAGGCCAGACTCATCACAAGCCCTAACACCCATATCGCACAAATAGCACTAGACATGGTTAGAGACTACCCAAAACCCCCGCAATTCGCATGGTTGTGTCGTACTGTGGTACAAGCAAGGTGGCGCCTGTGTCCCGCTGCGCCGCGCAGCATGGTAGAGCCCCAGCATCCGAACTACTGTACCTATGTTAACGCCGACCGTTCGCTGCCTATAACCTAAGCTACTCTGCACTAATAGTTACGCTAGTATGAACGCCTCAACCTCGAGAGCGACCGTAGGATGCAGCACAAGATCGAAGAAAGCATGTGGAAGGGGCACCACAAATTGACTGTGTCTCTCTAGAGTCATCAGCAGTCAACCACACGCCATCCATCTTTGCATCTATCAAACTTAATAGAAAGTTGCGATGAACCCGTTACTCACCTACACAACGGCGAAGAGCAAAACAGGATTCAGCCTCAAACAGACAGGCATTGCTCGGGAGATACGCGAAAAACTATCCCCAAATCAGTGCCAAGACATACGTCAGACTTAGTAAATACGGTCGGTGTGCGACGCGAGTATACAAAAATGCAGGGCTGCCATATGTTCTCCTCTCGCCATGTATCCCCATGTTTCTTGTTCTTTCAAGCCAATCCCGATATGGTGGTCCAACTCGAACCTCCATTGCATAAGATCCCCTCCAACTCTACATGCAACAAGCTAGCGTGTGATACTACCGAGCTCGCAAAAGTATATGATAAACACGAATACTCTATTAAATCACAAGCGTCGTCCAGGCAAAGTTCCATCGATACTCTAGTAGACGAGCACGATGACTTTGAATCGGCCGGGACATTCGACTGGATAGCAGGAGTAGGGGACATATGTTACAGCGGGGTCAGAAAAAGTAACGTGCACAACAATTGTATTCACAGACGAAACGCTGAGCACGGCGTTCCAACGAACTGCCACAAAGCTCCTAGGATAGGAAGCTCCAGCGTATCTGTTAAGCCCCGTTACCCTCAACACAACCCAAACAGTAAACACAGCGCTCTCCGCCGTCATTGCGATTTTTGGGATACCGATGCGGATGGTATAATCTATCCCTGGGACATATTCAACGGCTTCCACAGACTAGGCTTCCACGTTCTTCTCTGCTTGTGGGCAGCTGTCACCATGCCCATGTGCTCTTCCTATTGTACCCAAACAAGCTGGCTTCCGCACCCGCTTTTTGCTATCAATATCAACAACATCAACCGCAACAGACATGGAAGCACTACAGGCGCATACGACATGGATGCGGAGCTGGATATGCGGCGATTCGACGCCATCTTCAACAAATACGCAGAAGGCAAGGACTACTTAACAAGGCGGACCATGTACAACGTTTGGCAAGGCCAATGCTGCGCGAATGATTTCTTTGGCTGGTTTGCCGGGGGTTTAGAATGTATGTTCATCTATAGAAGCGATTCGATAGCGAAAAATGACTGACTTTGGATAGGGATTGCAATGTACATTCTACTCTGGCCCCAAGATGGGAGAATGAACAAGGACGACATTTTAGGCGTGTATGATGGAACAATCTTCAAAAAGCTTGCCAACGCTCGTGCGCAAGATGAACGACCATGAGATTTCCTACAACCGGACAACAGCCCAAAGAGCTCGGACTATCATACTCAATCCGACGTTGTAGAATTGAGGCCTTTCAGGCAGTCACGTCGAACAATCATAGTGTTCTGGACCTATCATAGTTCGTCGCACATCTCTAGTACCTGTGTGGAGATTGTTTCTGTTCCATTTCATCTGAAACGATACGGTACAGAACGTTGAAAGAATCTCACTCGCCGTCAAAATCAAGGCTCTCTTACTGAACCGCTATCTCTTATGTTTTCCAATGCCCATAAGCCATAATCATTCGCACTTTTATCATAACACTTCCTGCTCACCCTAATCGTCTCTTGCGACCATCCGTAGGCAGCATTCATTGACGCAGTAGCCGTGCAGATGAGAATCTTGGCGGTTCCAAAGTCTGCTCTGGGATGGGTTCCGACACAGCAACTGGTCCTCTGGAGTTGGACGATCAAGGTGCTGTCGAATTCCATACAACGGGGGCTGCGGTAGGTATGGACCCCACGATCCTTCCTCGATAGGAACAACGTAGTCAAAAGCATGGTATGCTTTTAACAAAAGATTGGCGCTGCAACTACAATGTGCATAAGGTGCACCACACTTGTACTCGCGATAATGGCCTGGCTCTTCCTGTAAACGCGGAACGAAAGTCTGTGGGATCGGGTATTCGGAAGACTTCGTAGGAGGTTGACTTATCGCAGTGTACGTTTTCTCCGCACCTTTTCGATCACGACTGGTAGATGGAGGACCCAGTCTCGAAGATGAGATGGATATACTCTGTTGCGCGCTTAGTGTGGGATTATGTCGACTCCGGTCGTCAGATGTAACTTCGTGAGGCCGACCGGTTTTCGGGGTGCCAGCAATGATCCGCTTGAAGTTCGGAGCGAAATCAGAGCATTGTGAGCTTCGTTGGCTTTGCTTGCCGTCGTCGCCCATTGTTATCGTCATACTGGCAGATGTGCTCGTACCGAGCGCGAAGTCGACAAGAAAATCAAGGGCGTTCATCTTTTATGGCCGCATAGAAGGAATATGCTGCTGGGATCGCATGAAAGGCGATTAATGTGAAGACAAAGTTGGCGAGCTTGGAGAAATGCTAATGGAGCGCAGTCTAAGGCTTGGGGTTACACGTGACAGCATTGTCCCTGGCGGATAAAAGAGGTTATTATGTTGTACTTGTCGTAAAAGATCACCAGCACTTTTTCATTTTGTTACACTAAGCTCTCACACCGTCAATCACACCCCTAGCGACTGACCATATCTAGTTTCTCTGTAAAAGTTGCCTCCACGTCGGCTAAATGCTCTGGTTTTATGGTCATGCTGGCCATGAGGTATATCACATTTCCGAGGACACGAGAGTGTATCTGTACCTTCGTGTTCGAGGCCCTGTAGAGAAGTGCATCGCGTAGACCAATGGCAGCGGAGGACGAGTAGCCTGTCAGACGTTAGACAACCTGAGCTGACAAATTGTAGGCTCTTGCGCGCCCATCGTGAAGGGCATACAGGTCCGCCAGGAGGGAAATAATAAGTAAACTCACCTGATCCAGAGCCGTCTTTGAGTGACACGGCCAGAACCGAGCCCAAAGCATTGACATAGTCAACGCTCGTATGTTGGGAGAGATGTAACACGAACTCGTGAGACCATACGCTCCAAGTCCCTCTTTCCTTACCGTCTTGCTCTTTCACAACATCCAAGCTCGAGCTTCTGGACATCTCGTCTGGATAAGAGTTCCTCCAGTCTTTCTCATACCTTTCCCATTCAGGGCTACTGCTCAGATCCGCCATAGTCTGTAAACTTACATTAGCTACGTGGCAGCCGATAGGATGCGCTGTATAGCTATGTCCATGTAGCAACGCATCCGACTTTTCGTTGCCCCAGAAAGCTTGGAATATCGACTCGCTCGCTGTGGTGGCAGAGAGTGGAAGCAAACCCCCGGTGAGCAGTTTGGCATGGACGCTGATGTCAGGGTGCACATTGATAAAGGACCCAGATGAGAAGCGACCAAGTCTATACAGCCCGGTGAAGACTTCGTCGAACATGACTGGAAGGCCTGTCCAGGTGTGGACATTTGTACCTTGTGGTGGTACAACCTCGAATTTAGGCGAAAAATTGTATCCACGTACGATGCGTACAAGACTTTGCTGGAACAGTGGGTCCACAAAGATCATCCCTCCCGCGCCTAAGATCACGGGCTCCATGATCAAGGCACCAAATTTTCTGCCCTGGTCTTTGACAAGCCGATCTAATGTCTTTTCAATGTACGACTCGTATCGCGATGATCGACCTCTACTCTCAAGGTTGAAGATGCCGTCCATGTGCTCAAATTGCTGCTCTGGACCGAAGTCTTCCTCCATGCCCACCGGTGGCTCTACCACCCAGCGTCCTTGTCTCATCTTGAACGTTGGGTAATCAAACCACCAACCTCTACCACGGTACCAGTCGACTTTCTGGTTAAAAACGGATGGCTCTGACGCGTCCATTGCGCCAATCGTATCCCCCTGATATGCGCCCTTCAAGGCCAAGACACCGACATCGTCTTTCGCTGCATCCCAGCCATACCTTTTACAGGAAGCTCGAAGTCCCATTTTAATGCCCACTTCTGTGGCTGTGCTGCCATTATCCGTGTAAAATACCTTCGTGAGGCGAGGGTTTTTCAGGCCTTTGAGAAGGCGCTCTGCCAGTGTCAATGCCGGCTCATGTGTTGCTCCAGCAAACATGACATGTCCATAGCGGCCAGCAGCATATGCCGCTTCAAGGGCCAACTTTGGATTGCCATGCCCTAGTCCTTGTGTCCACCATGAGGCAGATCCGTCGAATGCGGGGTAGAGATGCGATATGTTATCCTTGAGACCGTTTTGCTGATGCGAGTTCGGAGTATGCTTGATTTGAAAGTAGTCTCCATAAGCAGAGTCAAAGACGAGAACGTCGTCTACTTTCTCAATGTGCTTGTGTTGTGTGAAAGGATGCCAAATGATGTTCTTCGTCCGTGAAGCCACTGATGGTGAGAATCAATTAGCAACATAACGAAAATAAGTGACTCTGAAGAACTCAACGCAGTATATGATCCATAACTGGCGCTTGAAAAAGCTTGCTTCTCGACCTTCCACGACATTTGCAGAAGTGTTAACACACGGACTGGGAGTTTACTTACTCTCATTCATTTCCGTCAGCCGCTTAA